TATTTATTTTATTTAATTAAATTAATTAATTAATTAATTTAATTATTTTTACTTTCAGCCGCTGCGCGTGGCACTGCCCGAAGGCGGCTTTGCATTTGACGAAGTCGCAGATACACCTCAAAGTGTTTATTCCGCGGCTGCGGGAAATTTTGGGAGAAAGAAAAAGTTCTTCAAATCTTCCGATAAAAAAGGTAATTTAAATTTTAAATTGAAAAACATTTAATTATATTTAATTATACTTAATTATATTTAATTATATTTAATTATATTTAATTATATTTAATTATATTTAATTTCCCGTTTAAAAGAGCTTATTTAACTCTTCTTTCCGCTTTTTTCCGCACTTTTCCCACCGCCAGACGCGCCGCATGCATTTTCCACTGGAGGGTTTTTTGCGACTTTTCGTCTCAAAAGTAGTCCATTTAAAGCAAATTTACGATATATTTGTAATTAATTGCAATTTATTTGCAATTTAATTGCAATTTAATTGCAATTTATTCGCTTTTAAATACTTTTGGTCCACATTTGGAGCCCTCGGGCTCACGCGCGCTCGGGGAGAAAAAGCTGCGCGTACACCGCAGTTGCGGTGTACGTACACCGCGCGTTTACGCCCAAGGCGCCGCGAGACGATTTGGTTCATTTTTGAGCAGTTTAAATCATTTTTTGGGTTGTTTTTAGTGCTTTTAATTGAAACTTTTGATTAAAATGAAAAGAACTGCATGCGTCGGGGCTTTGAGTCTTCATTTCGCGTTTTTGTTTCCGCATTTTCCGCGCCGCTGCGGTGTATCGACACCACACGCCTGCGGAACCGCGAATGCGCTTTTGCGCTTTTCTTCAAAATTCAAAATCGGAAAAAAGTTTTTTTCATTTTATTAAATGCATTCTGTGTTTTGGTGAACTTTTTCAGCAGAGAAAATGCAAATAAATGAAGTGTTTTGCAAATGCAAATTGTTTTGAATTAATTGCATTTTCAACAAATGAGAAAACTCCAAAAAGATGAAATGCCGGCAAATGCCAAAAGCCCTTCAGCTCTGTCTTATGTCTGAAGGGAGTCAAGCTGCAAGCTGCCAAGTGCAAATACTTTTACTCTATCCCCACTCCCTAAACCCTAAACCCTAAACCCTAAACCCTAAACCCTAAACCCTGATTTAGTGTGTTGCCTGCACTGGCTGCATTTGCGTTTTGCTTGCCCATTCGGCTGTACGTACACTGCAGCTCTTTGCTCGCAGGCAAAAGTGGCCGCCGCCATAATTGACGCTCTCACGGGAATGATTAAAAGCTCCCAGGAGGTGAACTAGGGTTTAGGGTTTAGGGTTTAGGGTTTAGGGTTTAGGGTTTAAGGTTGGGAAGTCAGGGTTTAGGGTTTAGGGTTTGGGATTTCGGGTCTAGGGATTACGCTTCAGCGCCGCGGGCTCGCGGTGCTGGGCCCCGGGATTGGGGTTGTGTAGGGTTTAGGGTTTAGGGTTTAGGGTTTAGGGTTTAGGGTTTAGGGTTTAGGGTTTGTCAGGCAATGGAGGTGTGCTGCAACAACTACCACTTCGTGGATTTGCTGCTGCCGGCGCTGAAAGAAGACGCAGCAGACCCTTTAATTCTTGCTGCGAGTTGCACGGGTGTGTCGAAAGCTGCAGCGAAATAAAAAAAACTTCAAAAAAAAATTTAAATTATTTTTTAAAATTCGAATTTAATTCCTTTTTTCGAATTTCTTTTTCCCCCCGCTGCGCGCCGCAGGCGTCCGAGTGATCCTGGAGTTTGAACTGCAGCAGCAGCAGCAGCAGCAGCAGCAGCTGCAGCAGCAGCAGCAGCAGCAGCTGCTGCAGTACGTCTCCAGCGAGCTGCAAGGTGCTGCTGCGCTGCTGCAGTACTTGGGCGGCTCCAGCTACAGCCGTTTGTGCGACAGGGCCCAGCGGGCCCTCCAGGACTCAGATAAGGTCTTTTATTTATTATTTTATTTATTTTATTTATTTTATTTATTTTATTTATTTTCATTTATTTTATTTATTTTCTTTTATTTTTTCTCTTTTCGCGATGTCTCCGCTTTTCTCCTTTTGAGGCGCCCTTTGGAAGTCCTTTCTTGGGCTTCTTTGTGGACTTCTTTTGGCCACTTTTTGGCCAACTGTTGGCTCTTTTTGCTCTTTTTTTTTTCAGATTTTTTGGCATTTTTGGCGCTTTTTGTTCTCTTTTTTGCTCCTTTTTTGTTTTATTTTTTGGTTTATTTTTGTCTTCTTTGTTGGCTTCTTGTTGGCCTTTTCTCCGGCCTTTTTTGGTTCTTTTTGAGCTTCTTTTTGACTCCGCTTTTGTACCCTTTTTGTCTCTTTGTCCCTTTTGTCTCCTTTTTCTTGCTTCTTCTTTTGGCCCTTTTGTCCTTCTTTCTGTCTCTTTGTTTGCTACCTTTTGTCTTCCTTTTTGACTCCTTTTTGATTCTTTTTTGACTCCTTTTTGACTCCTTTTTGATTCTTTTTTGACTCCTTTTTGATTCCTTTTTGATTCCTTTTTGACTCCTTTTTGATTCTTTTTTGACTCTTTTTTGTCTCTTTTTCGTCTCTTTTTTGTCTCCTTTTTGCCTCTTTTTTGTCTCTTTTTGTCTCCTTTTGGACTCCTTTTTCTCTTTTATTTGTCTCATTTTTCTCTCCTTTTTTTCCCTCTTTTTGTCCTTCTTTAATCTTTTAAATCTTTTTTTGTCTCCTTTTTATTTCCCTTTCTGTCTCTTTCTTGTCCTTTTTGTGTCTCTTTTTTGCCCCTTTTTTTGTCTCCTTTTTATCCCTTTTTGTCCTTCTTTGTCCCTTTTAAACCCATCAAATTAATTAAATTCAATCAATTAAATGAATTAATTAAATTAAATAAATTAATTAAATAAAATAAATAAATAAATAAATAAATAAATAATTTAATTTATTTTCAGTTGGACTTCGTTCCGGAAACTCCTCCTCTTTGTCGTTTGACGAATTTTTTCGCCTGCAAAACTTTGGCGGCGATTTGCGACTTTTTGGGTTTTTACCTCCGAGGCACAAATGAAGCTTCTTTTAAAGTAATTTATTTAATTAATTAATTTATTTAATTAATTTATTTAATTAATTCATTTAATTCATTTAAGTAATTTAATTCATTTAATTGATTTAATTCATTTGCTTTATTTTAAGCATTTAAAGCATTTATTTTGTTTATTTCATTTTACCTCCGAGGCACAAATGAGGCTTCTTTTAAAGTAAATAATTATTTAATTTAACTTAATTTAATTTAATTTAATTCATTTAATTCATTTAATTCATTTAATTCATTTAATTCATTTAATTCATTTACTTTATTTAATTTATTTAATTCATTTGCTTTATTTAATTTATTTAATTCATTTGCTTTAATTTATGCATTTAAGGCATTTATTTCGTTTATTTCATTTTACCTCCAAAGCACAAATGAGGTTTCTTTTCAAGTAATCCATTTAATTAATTTATTTTATTTAAATTCTTTAATTTATTTAATTAGTTCATATAATTTATTCTTTTAATTCATTTGATTCATTCACTTTATTTAATTCGTTAATTTTAAATAATTGGTTTAATTCATTTTATCCATTATATTCATTTATTTTATTTAATTCATATAATTGACTTAATTCATACAATTGATCTAATTCATTTAATTGATTTAATTCATTTAATTTATTTAATTCATTTAATTCATTTATTTCATTTAATTTGTTTAATTCATTTGATTCTTGTAATTCATTTGATTCTTTTAATTCATTTAATTCATATAATTTGGTTAATTTGTCTAATTTATTTTATTTAATTTATTTCATTATTTGATTTACTTAATTGTTTTAATTCATTTAATTCATTTAATTGTCCCAAATTGTTTGATTTTTTAAATTTATTTAATTTCTCTAGTTTATATATATTTTAGTTCTTCCAATTCTTTTAAGTCTTTTAATTCTTTTAAGTCTTTTAATTGATATAATGCATTTAATTCATTTAATTGCTTTAATTGATTCAATTATTTTAATTATTTTAATTAATTCATTTATTTTAATTAATTATTTTAATTATTTTAATTATTTTAATTATTTTAATTATTTTAATTTTCCTAAATTTAATCTTTTTGGCTTTTTGTTTCGGGCTGCGGGTCGGGTGTACAGACACTGGGCGTTTAGTACTAAATAATAATAAATACAAACAACACTTTTTATCTTTTGCTGCAGCAGCAGCAGCAACAGCAGCAGCAGCAGCAGCAGCAGCAGCAGCATCAGCAGCAGCAGCAAAGTGTCCCGGCACCAAAACCCGCAGCAAAAAAGCTCCTTGTTCGCTGCCGCTGCCGCTGCTGCTGCTGCTGCTGCTGCTGCTGCTGCCGCTGCTGCTGCTGCTGCTGCTGCTGCTGCTGCTGCTGCAGGCGCTGGTGGATTCTTTTTTGGCAGTTCGAGGGGAAAAAGCAATAATAAATTTGTTGGAAGTTCGAAACGAAGAAGTGGTGCGCGCGGCGGTGGGGTGTACGTACAGCTTGCCGCTGGAGTGTATATCCAGGGAAACAGTTTTGCTGCTCATTAATTTAATTAAAAGACTTCACTTTCCGCATGCAGGTCAGTTTCTTTTTTCTGCTTTCTTTTTTTCTTTTCTGCTTTCTTTTTGTTTCTTTTCTGCTTTCTTTTTGTTTCTTTTTGCCTTTTTGTTCCCTTTTGTCTTTTTTTTTCTTTTTGGCTTTTTTTATTTCTTTTTTGGCTTTTTTTAACTTTTTTTTGGCTTTTTTATTCCTTCTTTGGCTTTTTTGTTTCTTTTTGTTCTTTTATAATTCTTTTTCCTCTTTTTGGAGATCTTTTTGTCTCCTTTTGTCTCTTTTAAGATCTTTTTGTCTTTTTAAAACAAATTATTTTTTTTCTTTTTTTGTCTTTTTGTCTTGCCTTTTTTTCCCCCTTTTCTTCTTCTTATTTCATTTATTTCTCATTTGTCTTTTTATTTTTGCTTTTATTTATTTCTTTTTATTAATTATTTTATTTATTTCTTTTTATTTATTATTTTATTTATTTCTTTAATTTGTTTTCTTTATTTCCTTTTTATTTCCCCATCTTTTTATCTGTCTCCTTATGTTTCAATGTGTCTCCCTAAACACCCTGCTGTCAGCAGCAGCAGCAGCAGCAGCAGCAGCAGCAGCAGCAGCAGCAGCAGCAGCAGCAGCAGCAGCAGCAGCTAAAAGTCACATGAAGAATCGGGAAAAAGGGGAAAAGCAGGGAAAAAAAGGGAAAACAAAAGAAAAAGAATAAAGACAATTAAAAAAAGAAAAAGGACTTTTTAAAATCCAAAAAGAATTAACTTTTGCTGCAGGACTGACTTCGGAAGTGCTGCAGACTGCAGCAAAAGTGCTGCTGCGGCTGGCCCTTGCAGACCCCCCCAAAGCCCACGCAGTGCTGTGGGGTTTTGCTGCTGCTGCTGCTGCTGCTGCTGCTGAGGAGACAATTTACAAAAACCTCGCCACTTTTTCCGAACCTGCAAGGCCTGTCTTTGTTTTATTTTTCAACTTTTTAATTGAATTAATAATTGAATTTAAGTCCTTTTAAAGGCCTTTTTAAAATTAATTTAAAAGCTTTTTAAAGTTAATTTAAAGGCCCTTTTAAAGTTAATTTAGAAGTTTTTTAAAGTCCTTTTAAAGGCCTTTTAAAGTTAATTTAAAAGCTTTTTAAAGTCCTTTTAAAGGCCCTTTTAAAGTTAATTTAAAAGCTTTTTAAAGTTAATTTAAAGGCCCTTTTAAAGTTAATTTAAAAGCTTTTTAAATTAATTTAAAGTCCCTTTTGAAGTTAATTTAATGTTCATTTTAAAGCTAATTTAAATTCCTTTTAAAAGTTTATTTAAAGGCCCTTTGAAGGACTTTTAAAATTAATTTAAAACTCTTTTTAACTTCTCTTTGAGTTATTTTTAAATTTTTTTAAAATCTTTTTAAAATCTTTTTAAAGCTTTTTAAAAATCTTTTTAAAGTTAATTTAAAGCTCTTTTCAAAGTCTTTCTAAGGACTTGAAGTTTTTTTAAAGTCTTTTTAAATTCTTAAAAAATTTTTTTTAAGTCCTTTTTAATTATTCTTTTAATTCTTTTTAAATTCTTTTTAAATTCTTTTTAGATTCTTTTTAAATTCTTTTTAAATCTTTAAAAAATTATTTTTGAGACATTTTAAAACAGTTTTAAAGTCATTTTGAAGTAATTTTAAACTTTATTTTAAATTGTTTTAAAATCTTTTTTTTATATTTTAAAAATCTTCTCAGAGTCTTTTGAAGTCTTTTAAAACTTCTTTTAATCTTTTTTTCGAAACTCTTTTTAATCTTTTTTCAAAACTCTTTTTATCTTTTTAAAAAGCTTTTAATTCCTTTTAAAGTCCTTTTATTCTTTTTCAAAAGCTTTTAAATATTTAAAAGCCCTTTTAATCCTTTTTAATTATTTAAAATTCTTTTCAAAGCTTTTTAGATATCTTCCAAACTCTTCATTTATTTCTTTTTTTCATTTATTTCTTTTTTTATCTTTTTAAATACTTTTTTATTTCTTTCAAATTCCTTTTTAATTCCTTTTAAATATCCTTTTAGTGTCTATTTAATTTTATTTAAAAACTATTTTTATTTTCCTTTTTCCTTTTTTAATTTTCTTTTTCTCTTTAATTTATTCTTATCTTTTTTTAATTTCCTTTTTATCATTTCAACACATTTTTTATTTTATGTTTTCCTTTTTTAATTTATTATTTATTTATTTTTTTCTTTTTAAAATTATTCTTTTTTTGATTTATTCTTTAATTTATCTTTTTTAAATTCTATTCCTTATCTTTCTTTTATTTATTTTCTCTAATTCTTTTTCCTTTTAACTAATCATTTATTTATTTATTTATTTATTCATATTATTTATTTATTTATTTATTTATTTATTTATTTATTTATTTATTTATTTATTTATTTATTTATTTTTATTTTCAGAAAATCCACAATTGAAAATCTGCATGCACTCAACAAAGTCTGCGTCGAGTTCCTCCTGGCGGCCTCCCGCGTCGACACCGTCAGAGACATCATGAGGTCCCAAACCCTAAACCCCAAACCCTAAACCCTAAACCCTAAACCCTAAACCCTAAACCCTAAACCCTAAACCACTGGCCGTGTTATCGGGGATGGGGGCTTGCCGTCGGCCCGAAGCTTTGGCTGGTGTTGCTTCCGCCTCAAGCGCTAACCCCTAAACCCTAAACCCTAGACCCCAAACCCTAAACCCTAAACCCTAAACCCTAAACCGTAAACCCTAATTTAGGGTTTGCGTGCAGGCTGAAGCCGGTGGTGTCTCTGTTTGGGCCGTGTCTTGCGAGCGAAGAGGGCCTGTCGATACACCCGAACGGCTTCGAAGTGTCGCTCGAAAGGACTTGGACAGGAAGAGAAATAAAAGTTTTATTTTCTTCTCTTTCGGGGGTTTACAAACTAAACCCTAAAAAGAAAATTGCTTTTCGAATTGTCAACAGACTCGCGGACCTCCTCCAGGGCTGGCCGGACCTCCCCGACGCACTCAAAGACATGAGCCTCAGGGTCTGCAGCAGCAGCAGCAGCAGCAGCAGCAGCAGCAGCAGCAGCAGCAGCAGCGGCAGCGGTTGTTGCAGCAGAAGCGCTGCAGCAGCAGCGGGAGCAGAGCAGCAGCAGCAACTGCAGCAGAGTAGCAGAAGGAGCAGCAGCCGTAGAATAGCAGAAGTAGAGCAGCAGCAGCAGCAGCAGAGTACTATCTGAAGCAGCAGCAGCAGCAGCAGCAGCAGCAGCAGCAGCAGCAGCTGCTGCTGCTGCTGCTGCTTGCCCGTGTCTTTTCTTTTGCTTCTTTTTTGCCGCAGTCGCACAAACTGGCCAATAAGTGAATAAACAAAGAACAAATAAATAAATAAATAAATAAATAAGCAAATAAACAAACAAATAAACAAATTAATTAATTAATTAATTAATTAATTAAATTAATTAATTATTTATTTATTTCTTTTTAAATGCTGCAGAACCTCTGCATGCGCGAGGCGGAAATGTGGGACGACACCGCTGCGGTGTCTAGACACCTGGAGATGGACGAAAGGGAAGAAGCGGAAAGAGGGCCGCAGCAACTTGTTGGTTTTTTGTCATTTTAATTCATTTTAATTCATTTTAAATCATTTTAAAGCATTTTAAAGCATTTTAAATCATTTTAAATCATTTTAAATCATTTTAAATCATTTATTTTGATTTATTTTGATTTATTTTGTTGTTTTTGTTCATTTCCGCGCAATTTGCTTCCATTTGGTCCGCGATTTGCTGCTTTTCAGCAGCAACGGAAAACTCCATTTGAAAAATTAATTATTTACTATTTATTATTTATTATTTATTATTTATTATTTATTATTTATTATTTATTATTTATTATTTATTATTTACTATTAGTTATTATTTATAATTTATTATTTATTATTTGTTATTTATTATTATTTGTTATTTGTTATTTGTTGTTTTTTATTTATTATTATTATTTGTTATTTATTAGTTATTAATTATTTATTATTTATAATTTATTATTTGTTATTTATTATTTATCATTTATTACTTATTATTTTATTATTTATTATTATTTATTATTTATGATTTATTATTTATCATTTGTTATTTATTTTTTGTTTTTTATTATTATTTCATTGGTTTTATTATTTCAATTTTTTGAAATTACCCAAAAAAGCTTCTAATTGAATTTGTGGCTTTCAAAGATTTTGCAAGTTTTTGGAGTGTACATACACCAGATGCTTTCCGATTTCTTCATTTTGTCTTTTTTTTGAATTGGTTTTTTAAATAAATAAATAAATAAATAAATAAATAATTTAATTAAATCAATTATGACCAATTGATCAATTAATTAGTGCAATTAATTGATTAATTAGTGCAATTAATTAATTAATTAGTTAATTAAATTGATTAAATCGACAATTTAATTAATCATTGTTGCGTTTGCTCTTTTCTTCTTTTTGCTTTTTCTCTTTTTGCCTGAGTAGTGGCAAAATATATTAAATGATTTTTTTTTGAGTTTTTGTTTTTTCTTTTATTTTTTTCTTTTTTCTATTTTCTTTTTTCTCCGCTTTTTGTAGCTGCATCTGGCGGCCCGCAGGTCTGACGCAGCTGCTAGGGTTTAGGGTTTAGGGTTTAGGGTTTAGGGTTTAGGGTTTGGGGTGCTGCAGGACTTTGTGCGTCTGTGCGTTGCTGAGCGGCTGCTGCTTTTCTTAACTCCTCTCACCAGCCGCACCACTGCGAGGAGGCATGCGTGAGTCTAGGGTTTAGGGTTTAGGGTTTAGGGCTTAGGGTTTAGGGTTTAGGGTTTAGGGTTTAGGGTTTAGGTTTTAGGCTCTAGGGTCTAGGATTCTGGGCTTAAGGCTTAGGGTTTGGGTTCAGGACTCAGTGTTCAGGGTTTGGGTGTAGGGTTTAGGGTTTGTGGCCTAGGGTTTAGGGTTTAGGATTTAGGGTTTGGGGTTTAGGATTTAGGGTTCAACCTTTGCTGCTTCATCAAACCTAAGCGGGAATCAGCTGCTAATTCAGCAGCAGCAGCAGCAGCAGAAGCAGCAACAACAAATGCAGCAGCAGCAGCTTCTGCTGCAGCAGTGTTGACGACTTGCAGTTCGCTGCTATTGCTGCTGCTGCCGCTGCTGCTGCTGCTGCTGCTGCTGCTGCCGCTGCTGCTGCTGCTGCTGCTGCTGCTGCAGGAGACAGAAGGCTTTGAAGCAGCACGCAGAGTATTGGGCGGGTCGCCTGAAGGCAGACATAGAAGACGCGGAGGCGGAGATAGCAAGAGTAAACCCTAAACCCTAAACCCTAAACCCTAAACCCTAAACCCTAAACCCTAAGGACTTGGAGGCTTCAGGTTGAGCTTGTGGGAAGGCTTTTTTCTGTCTCATCACGAGGGTTTGTTGGACACCGAGACAGGGGTTTTGGTTTCCTTGCTGCTGCTGCTGCTGCTGCTGCTGCCGCTGCGGTTTTTGCTGCTGCTGCTGTTGTTTCTGCTGCTGCCGCTGC